CAAATGCAAGATGTTCCCGCAGCTATTAATGCATTGCAGTTTTACACGAACGTGCAGCCTAGCATCAGGTGCCTAGTGGCATATGCTTCTCTGCAGTGCTTTTATTTGTTAAACTATTTATTTATATTGTTATGGAGAGGTTGAGATTCTTCTAAACAATGCACCTCCCCAGTTTTTGTCATTCGGAAACAGTCTCTCCCTGCTTTAGTACAGGGGTAAGACTGCGTACATCCGACCCCCCCTTACCCCACCGTAGGTGGGAGCCTTTGCGGCACTGGGGTGATGATGATGATGATCAAACTTGATAAAACACTCACATTCTGTTTGTGATTCAGAGGTAGGAATGTTTATGTTCAGTTCTCCTCGCATCAAGAGTTGACAACCATGGAACAGAACACACAAAGCCGAGTGGATGAGGTTAGCAAGTGTTTTTTTGTTAAATTAAGAGACTTCTCGGATAGCCCTTTTTCTTTATACGGAGTATATAGTTCTTACATCATCATTCAAGTGACCACGATCTTGGATTTCAATAGCCAATCATGACTTTAAACTCTACTTTGAACCATATTGTAATATCATTTCATGTCATGTTGAGAACCCACAGTATGTTGTATGTGATGGAGGTTGTCCTGTGTTCTTAATTTTATTATGCGAAGTACTTTATACCACAGTTTTGAAACTCCACTGCACCTAAATGACTAATAAGTACATGTCAAGATAATTACTGTACATTTTTTGTGAAGTACTTGCTAGGGAAAATGGACCTCATATAGCAGAATGAGAATGTTGATTCATATAGTCTTACCTTTATGTGATGGTTTGCTTTTTTAGCATATTATACTGTAAATGATATAGTGTTATTTTTTGCAACAAAAAGGAAACTGGACTATTAAAGTGAGGCAGTGGCTGTAAGAATTTTATTTGCATGCCGCATGAAGTATGTGGCCACCTTTTCTGTTTTACGGTTGTCAAATCTTCAATTATATGTTTTTACTGCTGCAGCAGATATGAATATTTTCCAAGAGTTGATAGGTTTTACTAGTTAATACAGAACCTGTTGACATTCTGTTTTTGGACGTAATAAGTTTGAGTAGCATATTGCGTGCCTATGTTATTTTGACAGATCCTTCTCTAAATTTCCATCTGTTCTATTCTATTCATTCTCTTTCTCTTCTCTCCTTCTGTCTCTATGTATTTGCTCTGCTGTTCGTTCGGCTCTCTCTGGACTCTCACAGCCTAATCGAATTCTCTTAGTTACAATACATCACATGCTATACCCCATAACCGTGGAAGTGCTGCATCAAGTGTTTTCTCCTCATGGATTTGTAGAGAAGATCGTCACTTTTCAGAAGTCTGCTGGTCAGCTTCTTCAAGTTTTCTCTTCTCTATATGTTTTCACATGTGTTCCACTTTAGTCTTATTGCATTTGGTTTTGGAAAAAATAATCCTTATGGAGCCATATAAGTATGCAAATGTCATTACTTGTAGGTCTTTTTTCTATTGTTAAGCGGGCTCTTATTTGGAGTTCAGCCTCTGCTCTCGTAGTATATGTTTAAATAGCTGATTGAAGAGATGTGAATTTTTTAGGTTTTCAAGCTTTGATTCAATATCAAACCAACCAAAGTGCTGTTTCTGCACGGAATTCTCTTCAGGTGCACTTCTAATATCTGCTACTCCCCGCCTCAAAAGAAATTTCATATACGAAAACATAATTTGTCCAATAAAAGATTTGACTTTGACAAGAGATGCAATGATCCATCAAATTTGATGTAACATTTCAAAAAGAAATCTGAACAAATTAAATTTAGTTCAAAATCAAATAAATGCAAAACATTATGTAGGGTTGGCTATCTAGAAGAGGTGTACCTTTTTAAAATGAAAAGGTTCTACCTTGACAAAGCATGTCTCTTTTTGTTTTGGTATGAAGGCAGTAGTATATTTTATTATCCTTAAATGAATGATAATCCATGCCACTGCTTCAGTCAATGGAAGCTTATATCTTAAAATTTTATATTCGTAGGGGCGCAACATTTATGATGGATGCTGTCAACTGGATATCCAGTTTTCAAAGTAAGTTTGTTAACCTTATGAGGTTTGTACGAGTTGGTTGCTAGTGTGAGTTTGTGCAAGTTAATAAGTTGCTAAACCTTCTTTTGGTGATTTTTTTTATTACGATACCATTTATCTTTAGTTTCTTTCATTCATGTCGGGAATTATATTTGTCTAACACTTTTCCTCTGTATTTTTCATAAGTATACATATCTTTTCTCAAAATTTTTGGTGATCTGCAGCCTAGACGAATTGCAAGTGAACTATAATAATGAAAAATCAAGGTACAATATCTGGGTTTTGTTGTGTTTCTTCCATTTTTGTTTTGGCAAATTACAGTAGCCTTCCAAGTAATAAACATTAATCTGCGGGTGTTCTATTGTGTCTTTATTACAGGGATTTCACCAACCCAAATCTACCAACAGAACAAAAGGGGAAATCTTCTCAAGTACTTACTGTACACTTTATTACTTTGAGAGATCTTCTTTATGTGTGATTCAATCGATAAAGAATAGTTAACCTTTTTTCATATTGTTTTGGTTCATAACAGCACACATATGGGGATATCGGGGGTATGTATCCTTTATCATCATCGGGTTCCAATGCAGGTGTTTTTGCCTCAACTTTTGTTATCTCTTTCAATGAAATGTTCATAAAGTTGTTGTTCTTTGCCATCTCTAACTTTTTTTCTTGTCTGTCTCTTTCTCCAGCTGGATATCATCAGGTGCGTGTTTCCCTTTTGTTGAGAATTCAGATAATTTTGACCAGATTTACATCTGAGAAGTTTTTTTTCTTTCTTTTTTGACTTTTGTCGGTACTTATGACAGATGGGGAATGCTGCTGCTGTTGCAGCTGCCTTTCCCGGAGGCTTGCCTCCAGGAATAAGTGGGACAAATGATAGATGTACTATTCTTGTTTCTAATCTAGATTCGGATGTAAGTGTATCTTTTTACAATATTATTGGCATCTGTGATATTCAATTTCTGAATCATTTTCAATATTTACACCATGACTCCCAACTTGTCAATATTTCTTATTCATCTGCAGAGAGTAGATGAGGACAAACTTTTTAACCTTTTCTCAATATATGGAAACATTGCGAGGATCAAACTACTACGTAATAAACCAGACCATGCACTAGTTCAGATGGGTGATGGTTTCCAAGCTGAATTAGCCGTTCACTTTTTGAAGGTCTTTTTATAATCTTTTATATAAATACTCTACTTTATGGGTATAGTTTTTGCTTGATGTTTTGTTTTGTCAAATTAAATGTGGACCGTTTTTAAGTGGAGCCCATTTTTGGATTATATCTTGGCTTATCATCCATTTTTTCACCAAATGAAAATTAATAGTTTAGGAGTTGCTGAAGTGGCTAATTTTGATGAAATTGACACCAGGGCTTTCTTACTTTTAGAATTTTAATGCCCCTTTGTCCCATAAGTTTATGCCTGCTTCGACTTGCATGCTAGTTAAGAAAATGAAATTGTGAAACATTGGTTTATTTAAATAGGAAAGAAAGAAACTACATCAACCAGACTTATTTCATTAAAAGAAAATATGAAGAAAATTGTGTCCTGACCTGATGAAATCTTGAAGAATATTCTACATTTTTCTTTAATTGATTTCGATGAATATTTCTACATTTTTGATAGATAATTAGCTGATTTTAAGCCTCTGGGTTCTATTACATAATTGATGATGTGTGGTGCATGCAGGGAGGAACACTGTTTGGAAAGCGGTTGGAGGTCAACTTCTCTAAGCACCCAAACATTACAACCGGACCAGAAACACGTGACTATTCTAACTCTAACCTCAACCGTTTCAACCGTAACGCAGCAAAGAACTACCGTTATTGTTGCTCGCCAACCAAGATGATCCACCTATCCACCTTGCCTCAGGACGTCACTGAGGAAGAGATTGTGGAACACTTGGAGGAGCATGGCACCATTGTCAACAGCAAGCTTTTTGAGATGAATGGGAAGAAGCAGGCTCTCGTCCTTTTTGAAAACGAAGAGCAGGCCACTGAAGCCCTTGCGTGTAAGAACGCCTCGTCACTCGCCGGATCAACCATTCGGATTTCCTTCTCCCAATTGCAGAACATCTAATTCATTTAAGAAACAATCAGTTTGTTGCGAACAAAAACTTATTAGACACGTGATTTTTACGTCTTGCTCATCGTATCTGATACTTCTTCCCTTGTAACACTAGTTTCTTGTCCTCATAAGCTCATAGGCCACTGGGTAACCTTTTTCTTCTGAGGTTCTGTTGGAACAAAAAACAAAACACCTATTGCTTGTGTTTTCTAAGATTACTCTGAAGCCTGAAGTCAAATTTAATTGTCACATTCAAACTGAAGCGTCTGAAAGTTATTAATTGGTATGAGGCGTCTGTTTTTTCAACAGTTTATGATGCTTATACCTATGCGGAAATTATGTTTCAACTTTTAACTCCTGTGAGTTTTTGCATGACTCTGCATGGACTTGTTACAGATCAGTCGATTCTGGATAGGCCAATAGGGTAACTTGGGAAAGTGGAATTTTAATTGGGTAAATCCGTAAATAGGTTTTGGTAAAGTTTATCCTTTTATTAAAATAGTAATGAAAAATGGAGTTGGTTGGGTTTGGTCTTTAGTTTGGTAGTTGGAACTAGTTTGGACTAGTTTTGGGGGCTAGTACTGTTTGGAACTCAGAATCCAAATTGGTCAATCAACTGTCTGATCCTGCAACACGGGTCTGAATCCAAATTGGACACGAAGTCACACGAGCCATCTGGTTAAATTAAAGTAGTTAATATTCTCATATATAAATATAAGCTCAATTTTTTTTAGTCCAAAACCCCTCACCAACAAGATCAAAATCCCGTCTGAGGATGAGCTGTAAACAAAATCGGACCTGAGAACTTCAGTTATAGTTAAGATTCCCCTTGGGAGCGGAACTTGACAGATTCACAGATCCACTCCTAGAGAGAATTCACTCCAATAAAAAAATTATTACTTCAGTTATAGTTAAGATTCCCCTTGGGAGCGGAACTTGACAGATTCACAGATCCACTCCTAGAGAGAATTCACTCCAATAAAAAAATTATTACACAGGTCCCCAGGACCCCAAGTACACCTTTGAACAATAGGCATAACTATATCAAGGTTTAAAATACAACAGATGGTATATACACATAACCCCATGATCCTTGGGTTTATATTGTCTGCAAACTAGTCTGTAATCTATGAGCCCTTTGCCAATTCTCTCTACTAACAGAGGTAGAATCTGAGATTGATCATGTAATTTTACGTAGATGAATTCTAACTTCATAAGTGCTCCCAGGGAGATATTCTACCAAGGTCTGGAACATCGACCATCCTCTTCATTGTGAGGGATAACAGCTTCCACAGTTGTTGTCCAAAATTGGTACTCCTCCCTTATACTCGGAAAGGAGTCACTCCCAGAATCATCATTTCTGCCATCTTGCACACCAAATTCTTCATCTAGATCATCATCTTTAAAGCCAAGATCATCATCAAGATCATCGAATAAATCATCCAGTCCATCATAAGAGAGAGCAAACTCCTCCTCATCAACTTCCTCCGACATTGAATTGCAGCTCAAACCACCACCACTTGTGCTGACCAACTCAACGTCCTCTCCTTTAGAAAATGCCTTCCTCTTCTCTCTCCTTAATTGCTTCCCTTCCCTAACCAGCTGTATAAGCTTATCTCTTATAACCAATAGCTCATTCTTCGCATCCTCCTTCAGCCTACCACCACCATCATAGCCTTCAACAAGAAAGACAGAATTTCTCAACCCCTTTAAACTCACGTAGAAATGCTCAGGGTGTCTGATCAACAAAGCCCTCAACTTATTTGGCAGCCCAAACTCCTTCCTGAAATGTGTCAGGTGGTCTATCAGAGTCCTTCTCTCAATCGTCATGGCTAACACTTCCCTCACGACGGCACACGCCCTTTTCTCAGCTTCAATGGACCCTTTAGGAAAATCCTCTGCTTTTGATTCATAAGGACACACATGTGACAGTTCCTTAAACTTCATAAGATAATCATGATGGCGTCTCTTCAGATTGAGCCCCTTTCTAAGCCTCAAGTGTTTGAATTTCAGAGGTCTATCCACAATCAACCCGAGCGAAACAGAATCAACTTCATCATGTGGGGAGGGTAAAGAATGAGCCAAACTTGAATCCCAAGAAACGAGCTCTAAAGCCCGTCCGTAGGAAGTCTCCACGATTTTGAATCTATCCGGGAATTCATTGCACAGGCGAGAACGAAAATTAACTGGCAAGCCAAGATCAGGGAACAAGTGAACGAGCTTGGACAACAGTAGTCTATGGTGGGATGAGAGCATTAGAAGCTTTTGTAGTTTGGATGCTGAGGAAACCGACATAATTTTGGATTTAATTTCATATTCTCTAACAGCAAGAGCTGCAGCAGCTGGAGTGAGCCTAACGCATAGCTGAGAGTGTGGTTTCGTGGCATTGAATGGAATAGGAGGCGTGTGCATGGTGAAAAGTTCAAAAACAGTAGGGTATCGATGAATCAATGAGAGTATAGAGCGAGGTGGGTTTGACAGAGCTAGATAGTCACGGCTCTTGTCAAGAACTTTGATGGGCAAGAAACGTTTTGGCTTTGACAAAAGCAGCGTCTTTAACTTCTGAATGAAGCGGATCTTGTTGGACCTGGCAATGTGACTGTCCAACGAGCTATCGCGTACTGGTTTGCAAGGACCAGAAGGTGAGGATATAGATGAAGAACTTCTGATACATACCTTTGTAACTTCAGCTCTGGGCATCGCAACATTCGAAAGGAGGAGGCCGCGTTTGCATGGACGACCCGGCATGAAAGTTGTATGGCGAGGAATCAAAGGGCTGGATATGGTTTTGGGTGCTTCCGGCGGTATGAGCAGCATTATTCACTAGCAGTTGTGGTAAATGGTCGAATATTAGGTCGGCTTCACTGATTTTGTCTATGAGGCAAATTATCATACACCTGGCATGCGTCGCGCATATTCAAGATCCTTTCTTCTATTGTGAACCATAAAGCGCCACTTCTGGTTTCCCTTCTTCTACCCAGAGAGGAAACTTACGCGGATTTGCTCCAGAAAGCAGGATGGATCATTGAAGATGCAAGAGGAGCCGCTACGGATCATTCTAAGCTCTAAGCTCTTTAGAAGCCCTTGAGGACATCAGTTTTAAATCTGTTTGTGAAATGTACTCCCCGTCCCAGTTTTAAATGTACTAGTCTACTCTTCTTTTTGGGTTGTCCAAAATGAATGTATTGTTTCTTTTTTTGACAAAAAATATGCGGTTCTTATCATTTCACTTTATTCTACTCAAATCGCAACCACAATTTTTATTTTTCAACCACTTTATTAATAATCGTGTCAAATTGAAAATGGACAACCAATATATTAATACGCAATTTCAACCTAAAATCAGCGGTGCATTTTTTCCTGTTCTATGGATTACGGGGTATTATGAAGTGTAGTTTTGGGTTTTAAGTTCTCTCTTTTAAACGGATAAATTCATGAGTGATTTTTTTTTATTTTTTTTATAGGAAGGGTACCTTAGAAAAGTTATTTTAAAGTTATCTCACATGATTTCAGTTCGTTATTGAAATACATTGTTGTCAAATGTCAAAAGATGAGTTTAAAAATCATTTCTTTAAAAATATTTTAATAACTAGTACAAAATATTTTTTAATAACTATTGACACAAAAAAAATTATTCATAAAATAAAGACTTTCACCAAATTTAGAGAGGGTGAATAAAATTCAAATCAATAAAATTTAATGGTTTCTTGCGATATTTTATAAGATTTCATAACAGTTCGTCTTAACGATAATCCCAATACACATTGGTAAACAATCTAGAATCTCTAGTTAGTCAATCAATGACTTGTATTTGACTTTCGTTTTCATTCTTTTTCCTTCTCGTAGCTTCGTATAAAAAAGCTCATAAACCTATTTTCTTTTTATCTTACGTCAATATTTGTTAGAGTAGATAAAAGTTAGTTGATCAATGGTCATTAGATTGGTTTTGGGGTGTTTTACTGTTAGTTAGCCACTACTTAAGAAGCTTCCAGATATATTGTAAACTAAGTGTATAGCCTAATTAATCTATTCGTATATTAGTATTTGAGTTCCATTGTAAAATTAGGAGATCACCTTTAATTAAGAAGAGACTCCCCCTTCACTTTCTTTCATTAAGGGGAACAAAAGAAAAGAATAAAGAGGGACTAAAGGTTTGGGCTCAAGGAACTATATGATTCTTTTATCAATACTTCATAGTTCATACTTCTATCTACTAATACTTCTAGGAGTGATGTTAGTCATTAACCTAAAAGATTATGGATGTAAGGCTAAAAATGGTTTATGAGAAGTTATGTTCTCATATTAGTGTATGTTGTAAGGGATGTTAATCTGCATATCCAACACATAAAAAATGTTTTTTATAAAGGATAAAAATGTTTTGGTCTTACCAATTCAAGAGCAATTTTCTCCATCTTTTTAGGGTTTAATTATTTTTTTTCATGTTCGATTACATGAATGGTACTAGAATAACACTTTTAAATCAAACATAGTGTTTGTTTTGACCATGTTTGACGATGTTTGTCAAACATTTTAAGAGGTTGGATCACTCTGATGATCATTTTCTAAGCATTTTCAACGTATGATTAGCATTTTGCTTCATCGCCCTAATTATCGAGGGACGGGGATCCTTACATAGTTACATACCATGTGCATAATTTCAACATAAAGGGATTTCATTCATTTGAAGTTTTAAGTAACTGAACTTGCCACAAATTCATAAAGCTCCCCTACGTAAATGTAGCCAAAACAGTAATACGGAGTATTAAGTACTCTTAATATAAACAATGGGCGTAAAAATTAGGGTTGTGACCGGTTCGGTTCTTACTCAAAATGAGTGGAACCGTTATAAAAATTTTAACTAATGAAATCGGTTCGGATCCTATATAAAAAATTAAGAACCGTTATGGAACCGAACCGGTAGTAAACGGTTCGGTTCTTCCTTTTACCGGTTCCTAGAATAATTTTAGATCTAAAAATTAACACATAATTTTAAACACATCGAAAATTCAAAACACGAGTATTAAAATTTTATTTGAAGCTCTAATCACTTCAAACATCAAAGCTCAAACTTAACTAATGAATTTTGAACACTTAATAGAACAAAAGTGATTTAAATTTTCATGTAATAAATAAAACATTAAAAATCGTTGTAGTGTCGGAGCGATTAACGTTACTCGTCATCATAGTAGCAAGAATAAGACGTCTACTTCAAGTCTTTCAAAATATAAAAAAAAAGACATTGAGTTTGCATGCATAGATATAAAAAAACATTATTACATTCTATTGATTCATAATAAATTTAATAATTAGAAATATCATGAAAATAGTAAAACAAAATATGTGCAATCAACTACAAGTTATTTGGGTTATTTTATATTTATAAAATTTATGTGATGGAAAAAAACATGATTTGTAGAAAGGAGTTTAATGTATTATATCAACCTCATGTACAATATTTATTACTTCTTTTCCGTTGATTAAATTAGAATTGTTAGTTAAATATCTTATATTGTTTTATTGTTGTTATTGTGGTGGTGGTTATTATTGCTATTATATTATTATTATTATTATTGTTACTACTACTACTACTAATATTATTTTTTTATTATTTTTTTAATAACGGTTCCTTAACAGTTCCATGCACATATTTTTATAGGAACCGGGAACCGAACCGTTATAATCCGTTTCGGTTCGGTTCCTACAAATGAGGCATTAATTGTTAACGGTTCGGTTCCTAGATGTTGTTAACGGTTCGGTTCCAATCGGTTCTACGGTTCTCGGTTCCAAAATCTCACCCCTAGTAAAAATGCATAAAAGCATACCTCTTTAAGTAATGTAAACGGTTCAATTTTCGTTCACCATGTACTTTAATCTCTTTAGTAATGTACTTTTTATGATGGTAATGGTTTTGCCTATTTTTAACCATATTTGTACAAAATTCGATGTATTTCATACTACAAATATTTTTACTTAAACTGAAATTTGTTGATTTGATCTTATCGGTTTAAGTCTGGTCTGATATGGTCTGAAATGTTTGAACCCCTTTTGGGCATAATAAGGTCATTAATGGGCTAAATACAAGACATGGTAGATTAAGTGTAAAAATGTATTCTGTCAGGGTATTTCCTAGCCGATGTCGTGTTAGGCCGATGTGAGACCCAAATCACACTGGGCTTTTGGACCGTGATTTGAGCGTTCCTAATTTTGGCCGATGGGGTCCCATATACTCTATCAGTCCTTTTACGACGATTTCGACCATCGGAAACAATGTCGAAAGAATTATATATGAGCGAAAACACAAATAGTCATGTATCAAAAGTGGATAACGTGAAAGATGTTGATTAAATGTGGAATTGACCTAAAACTCGTAGAACCAAAACTGGAATTTATTTTTTTATAACTATGGAAGTCTGGTCTAATTTAAATTGGTTTGATCTAAGACTGAAAATAGTCCAAGTAAAAACATCCAACATATCTTTAAATCCCTAAAGCTCAAAATTCATATGCCAATCATTTCTGAATTACTCATAAACTATAGTCTCATCTGAACAAAATAAATGTATCCATGATTAAACAAGAAGAGCCTTAATTCTTAATTTACTCATAAACTATATTCTCATTTGAATAAAAATGTATACATTGGACTACATAAGAAAAGCCTCAATGTAAGTAACATGAATGAATCTGTGCATTAGAAATGAGTGGCTGTTCTCTTAACCTAGACTCTTATGCAGTCTTAATTTACAAAATATTAGGGGATAGATGCACTTCAACATGCGAGATTACAAAAAAATAAAAGCATCCTTATTCCCTAATTGTGAATTTGTGATCCCTAACGGTAGGCCTGGACTCGGGCCGGTTCGGGGCCGGTTCGGGCCTGGGCCCGGCCGGGCCTAGGGCCAGGAAATGGGAGGCCCGGGCCCGAACCGCCGGTGGCCGGTTCCGGTCCCGGGCCAAACCGGGCCGGGCCGGGCCGAACCGGCCCACTTATTTTTTTTTTTTTGTTCTCCTATTTAATCCCCTACCCCTCCCCCTCAACCCCAAACCACCCCAAACCACCTCAAATGGCCCAAAATACCTATTCCAACCCAAAACTTTAAAAAAATTTCAAAAAAAAAAAAATTTAAAATCCGGCCCGGACCGGGCCCGAACCGGCCGGGCCGGTTCACCATTTGGAAGGCCCGGGCCCGGAACCGGGAACCACCGGGCCGGTTCGACCCGAACCGCCGGTGGACCGGGCCTCCGGGCCGGCCGGTTGCTGCAGTGGCCGGGCCGGGCCGGTTCCGGGTCGGGCCGCCCGGCCCGAGTCCAGGCCTACCTAACGCTAAAAGCATTCCTTGTTATTAAAGTGTCAGCATTACTAAAAAAAATCACTTTAGTGAAGTTAAAAAGACCAAATTCTTTAGTACCTTGCAGAGTCGTAGCCTTGCAGGTAAGTGACTTATCCATATGAAGTTATGAACCAATCAAAAATTTTCAATTAACTAATTTACACAAATAAATAATGAGATTATGACCAATCATATACGTAGTATATCGTGTACAAAGAACATCAAACTCGTGTATAAAGAATATCAAACTTGCATTCGGTACAGCCAACATAAACACATCCCCTTATCCTTCAAGTAAATGAGTCCAAAAACCTCAAACCAAAAATACCTCGACTGACTGAAGAAGATTAAGAAAATTTATTAATACACTTCAAAATACTGCAAAATTTATTATATCATCTCTTCATAGACCAAGCAGGGCAACATTAATTAGTCTTCTAAGAGTATATGCTGCAGATACATAGGTAAAGTTGTCTGATACACGGCTGGCTAATCTCCACAGGAAAAAGGGAGAAAAACCCAGGGGAATAGAAACAATGCTTTAATGCATTCATATCTACCCTCCTGATGGGGGGATCAAAGCCACCGAAATTCCCCTAACCTCTCCTACATGGAGGGGAGGAGGCATTGGTTAGAAAAAATCCAATGCCCCAAACTACATATTAATTAATCCTTCTATAGAAGAATAGCTGCTAGATATATATATATATATTTACACAAGTGTCCACACCATCTTCTAATCATCACCTGCCGGAGGAGGAAATAAAAGACCTATC